TATATATATATATATATATATATATGTGTGTGTGTGTGTATTGGAATTACGACTTACTCTTTTGAGTAATTTTTCAAAATTTATCTTATTTCAGTGATTACCAAAAATAAATTTACCCTTTTAAGAGTAAAAAAAGTCGGAAGCAACTCTATAGAAAATTGATACAACAATAATATCTAATAAAGTTCGTTTTACATTGTCACTAAAGTGAATTCAACATACTATCTGCACGAAATAAGCCTCACTATGCATGATAAACTTCAAATGGGAAAAAAAAGATGATTAGCAACAAAAAAATACAAAACCTCTCCTCACCTCAACCCCTGCCCGATGCAAAACGGGAAAAAGGTGTAAAAAGATTAGTAGTGTCCTTAGCCTATGAAGCATACAACTTCGAAAGTTCTCCATCAAAAGTCTTTTTTATGGCCTCTCTCTTGAGTTTGAGAGCAGCAGTGACTAAACCAGTCTCAGGAGTCCATGGGTCAGAAAGCAATTTAATTTTCGCAGGAATCTCAAATTTCTCCAAACGAGCTTCCTTTCCTTCCTGCAAACAGTTTCATAAAGAGAAATTATATTCCTACTTAATATTTTTATAACATTATATACAATTAACTAAGAGATAGAAAATGAAGAGAAAGTGTGAAATGGGATGAGTGATGTGACAGAAAGAGAGCAAAAATGAGTTTTAAGAAAATATTGTAAAAATAACATTACTTTTCCAATTTTCATAAACTGTGATCATGATAATAAAAGAGGAACAATAGTACAGCATTTGTAACAATAGAGGCAACACATGGCATTTTATTTTTTTGGGTGAATAGCAACACATGGTATGTTGATTCAAAGAATATATGCATAGTTGCATACTAGAAAACATGCAGACCCTTTTCTTTTAATTGTGAAATTAGGGAATTACGCCCAACAGAACTAATAATAGGAGACTAAGTGGGACATCTTTCGTGTATCGTCCGTTACAAGATATAAAATGAAGTACCAATATGAAGTTAGAAATGAGCTTTACAACCTAATATAGGTCCCTTTGTCCTTTAGCAGCGATGGTGGTCATAAAAGAAAGCAGGGAGAGGGGTCCTTTGCTAACATGCATGCTTATCTCTATGACCTTACTAACATGTCATATGAAGTACATTTTTTTTCTTCACATAAGTAAACATTACTAAATCTACACAAGTGTATAAAAAGATGAAACGCGAGCTATGGAGTTGTCATGCCAACTTCATCTATTATTTTTAGACCACAAGCAAAATCTTCATAACTTCTCCTTTCTTGTCTTTTCAATTGCTCTCACTTTTCCCTCACGATATCACAATGTTATTAGCAATTTATGACGAAAATCACTTCCTCTTTAAATCATTTCTCAACTCTCTTAATTTTCTTTTCACTCTTCTTTAATAACGTAATCATTTATGTTTCATTATCCCAACACTCCAATTCATTTCATTATTTATCATAATTATAGATTGTTTTCTTGAATTATGCATAAATTAGAAAGTGCCCTCTCAATTGACCTTTCCATAGTCATGATTAAAGGCAATGTCATGTTCAGATATAAAAAAAAATAGTACTGTAAACTTTATGCCAAAGATAAAGGATAACGTAATGAAATGTCAATCTCATGGTCGCAATAAGCAAGGCACTTCCAACCCTTCTATAAAAAAAGTGGGATCACTAGTAGTGGTATCCTTTCCCGATGATAAAAAACTTTGTAAGACATTGAACGGGATATATTTATATGCAAAAGGTCTCCTAGCTTCCTCCCCTTCCCTCAGTAACGTCACTTTTGTATCCATCAAGGTTATGATTGTTCGAGTAAAAGGAAGATATAAAATAGGGAGGAAAGTAAAAATAAAGAGGGATGAGAAGCTTCTGAGTTTCCTTCATTCATGTTTGGTAGAGGGTACAAAATAAATTTGAATTAAAAATTTTCAAAAAAAATAAGAAGGAAAAATAAAATTCTTTTTCATAAAATAATGCACAAGTTAATTTGTAAAAATTTACTTACATTAACTTCTCTAAAACCTTATTTTAAATATGCATAAGTCAATTTTAACTTATAGAAAAATGTATTTCCTTTTTCTTTTCTTTTCTTTTTCTCCTATAAGTGTCTTTTGAAAAATTTATTCAAACAGGCCTCAAATGAGTTGCAAGTTGCAACTTTTAACCACTCCATATTTTTGTTATACAAAAAAAGTGTGGAGTGATTTTTAATCTAAATTTTCCTCTTATTCAAACAACCATAGACTGGGGCTGAGATAATTTTGGATGTAAATGTAACTCTAAAGCTAATCAGTTAATATAAAAAGTTGTCATAGTTAACTTTCAACTCAATAATGTGCTGTTGATTAAGACAAGTGTACCTTGTAAAAACTGAAAATTAACACCTAATCATTACCATTAATTAGTCGTTAAGACTTAAGAGGACCTTGACAAGAAGGCATACCTTTACAAGTGATGCATGTACCTCCTTCACAGTTTCTTCTTTCTCACACAATTCTGAAAAACTGACATCAGAAATTCCTTGTTCTGAAGCCCATTCTTCCAATGTGGACTGAGAACCCACCACAAGTGCCACACAGTAACTATGGAAAGGATCAGCATGGACCATAATATTGTCCACAAAGGGGCTAACAATAAGAGCTGCCTCAACCTGTATCAAATAAATTAGTCATAGGAAAATGATTTGCAATGGTGTATGCTACAAAGTTGCTGAAAATATGCCTAAATATCTATAACTTGAAAATGGAGAATTTGATTTTAGAAATGCATTAATTGTGTTTCAAATCTTTAAGATGTGATCGAGATAAAGATAAGGATTTCGTTATCATCTAGACTTGTGGATGTTATCATTTTATTTTCAAGAATAAGATGATATTAGTATGAGTTTTCTGTTATACTTTAACTTTATAGATAGAGCCCAACAATAGATGTTTAAGGTTTATTAATTATATCATACACCCAGTTTCTCTTTCATCACACTTTTATTCCATTTTTTTTTCTTACTTCACTCTTTATTTCCTACAGCATCATTTGTTACATCTACCAGTATCTCTCCTTTATTTTATTTTTTTTCTCTTTCTCTTTTCTTTACAGTCTTACACCTCAATAAAAAAAATTCTCTATCTCTTTTTTCTTAACGCCCATACACCTCAAATTTGAGACGTACAATAATAATTTTCCTTTAAGAAGTCCTATGCACAACACATCTCTTCTTTTAAAATTGTTTTTTTTTCTAAAACAAACCAACAGAAGTAATGTCCATACCTTTCCCAATGAGACATATTCTCCATGCTGCAGTTTAACAATGTCCTTTTTACGATCAATGATTTCAAGGCATCCATCCGGATGAAATCTCCCAACATCACCAGTGTAAAACCACCTCATTCCTCTTTCATCAACCTTCACAGCAAAGGTACAAATTCACTAAGGAGAATTTTTACAGCAGCCGTGGAAAATCAAAAGTGATGTATTATTCCAGTTTGTCTTTTTCCCCCCAAGACAAATAGAGAAAAGATCATTGAAGCCTTACCTTGTATAATTCTTTTGTTTTTTCTTCATTTTTGAAATACCCAAGAGTGACATTTGGACCACCAATTACAATTTCACCACGGGGCATTGGTGAGTCATTTGTTAAATATCCACCTTCAGGCCAGTCGATTAGCTGAGGTAAGAAAATCAAATGTTCATATGAGAAATGTCTTTTTTCCAGATACCACAAAGAAAAAAAATCTGCCACGATTAGATAACCATAGTAGAAAAATACATGACTCAATCTTTAAGCCTCCTTTACATCGCACCATTATACAAGGAAGATTATAGATGCTACCCATTTTTATAAAATTTCACCCAATATGAATTACTTATGATAAATTTAAGAAAACAAGGAAATAGTTGACATCCAATATATTCTCTTAGAGTTGTAATTGCCTCCAGAATGTCATGAAGTATAGGCAACACTTAATAACATGCTAACAGTCCAAAGAAAATGGTACAATGAGTATAGTAAGCAAAACATTCCTACATTGACAAAGTTGCTGATAATTTTTAAGCATGCTAAAAAAGTTTGCTTAACATGACTTTACAAGCTTTGCTGAAGACTAGTATGCCACGCAAATACACAATTAAGTTGAATAATTTCCGTGAACAACTATTATCCAAGAAAATCTCCCAATTATGACTATATTTGTAAGATTTTTGGTCTACTTTCTTTGTGTCCCTTCTCATGATGAGTGGTAGCAAGGTTCCTGGGATGAGGTTGGTTAACTAGGTTTAGTTAATCAGCTTGTTTTGGTTGTTTTGTTCTTGTTCTTTTTCAGCCTCTTTTTAGAGGATGTTTTATGCTCTGTTCTCATAGTTCCTTTAATATGTGCTCGAGGGTGTACTCAACACAATGAGAATAAATAAAATTAAAAGACCTAAACTTTGCATCTTATGTTGATACCATAATAAATTACCAAAAGCCAGAAATATAGATAGGGTACTGTATTTTTTGTTAAAACAAGGTTCTACAACTACAACAAAAACAAAATCCTTTATCCTACTAAGTGACTACATGGACAAAGCAACGAATTGTGTTCTGTCAAAAAGTCTTCAGAGAAGACATTTAGATCTAAGACCATTTTAATAGTATTTACAAACTTTCTTGGTTTTCCTTACCTTTTAACTATTGGGCTATTCTCCATCTACTAACGTTCTTCTTACTAGTTTTAATTGGTCATTTTCTCAAATGGCCAAACCATCTTAGGCGCAGTTCTACCATATTTTCCTCAGCGGGTGCTACTTCTACTTTCTCTAATACATTCTTATGTCCTAGACTCTCATCCATATAATCTAACGTATATGGTGGTAACGGAATCTTTTATGTCAGAAATGTAGATTAATTGTGCTTATGATGTATCTTGACATAAGTTGCATGAAGTGAATTCTCCGAACCTAATTAAGAAGTATGATTCGACTAAATAGCAGTATAAAAGGAAACCTGTATAATTTCACATAAAGAACAATGAGTAGTATTTATTTGTGTAAGAGTCCTTGAAGTTAAGCCATTAGGACTGGCAAGTAGTGAGATATTTGAGTAGGATGAAAAGGGTCATTCAAGTTGTATGAAGGAAAAATTTGTCTGATCCATAATTACCTTAATATATGAGCATGGAAGAGGTGGTCCGACACGGCCAACGGATGTATCATCAACATCAGAGAAGGTCCCACCAGCACAAGTCTCTGTAAGACCATATCCTTGACCGATTGGAGCACTGGAGATGACTATAAATTATAAATATGACAGAAAAAATAAGGTTTAATTATATTTTTGATCCCTCTAGTATTACAATTGTGCAATTTTGGTCCATAAGTTCTAATTGAGCAATTTTAGTCTCTCTAAATATTTCAATTATGCAATTTTGGTCCCCCAAAATTTAATGAAGCAATTTTAATCCCTCAAATATTACAATTATACGATTTTAATTCATCGAGTATCGCAATTATACAATTTTTGACCTATTTAAGTTACATATATTATAATTTTCATTTATGTATTAAATAATATTTATTTATTATTACTAAAATTATTAATATACGTAACTTAAATAATAATAAAAATTGTATAATTACAATACTTAAAGACTAAAATCATACAATTATAGTAGTTTAGATACTAAAATTGCTTAATTAAAAATTGAGGGACCATAATTGCACAATTGTAATATTTGAGGAACTAAAATTACTCAATTAAAATTTAAAGGACTAAAATCATACTACGGTTATACTTTTGAGACCAAAAACGGATTTAAACCAAAAAAAATAATAAAGGAAACACAAGGGAAAAAAAAGAAAAAAGCATTAGAGTAAAAGCTAGTAATATTTCCTTCAGTAGAACACTAAAGCATGAATCAGGTAATATATACAGAAGTTGAATTTTCAAAAGGAAAAAGGCAGACCCACAGATAAGTTTCTGTTTTATTTGTTTATATCAACTATCAAGGCCAGTTATAAGTTATAACAAATCATTCATAGGTCATAACAGAGCAGTTCGTATTTGAACTTCTCGTTGCATGCCTACCTATGTCCTATGTTGATTCTAGACTTCTTCATGATATTCTGACTCTTTGTGTTTGTTAGAGATATTTTGGGAGAAAATAATCACTTGATTCTTCAAAACCATCTCAAGAAAGTAGCCAAAAGAGAAAAACCATTATTTCTCTCAAATAAGTTGTGCCAAATCATAAATCACCAAATATTTCTTCAGTCTAACTCGTTCTTAAGTTGGTCCTCTTTGTTTAGAGCTCTAATGCTCAACGAACATCATAAAATTAATATAGAAACTTTTAACAAGTTTGATTACTGTTAAATAGACAAAACATTAAAATATCAACAATATCACTTCAATGTAAAAGATAGGTTAACGTTTGACATCTCTATGCATGCTGCAATTCAGTGCATATGGTTGGATCAGAAGACCAATGATTTCAAAAATAATTCTTTGTTATGAGATGTTTAAGGAATATAGTGCTCTTTTTAGTTGACGGTTATTGTATATGGCTCTCAATTTGGCATGTAGAGAAACTGACTAGGTTTAAGTTCATGTGTCTTCTTATCTAGTATGACTTACGTGTTTTTAATGTTTTTGGTTTTTTTCTAGGAAAACATCTTATCCTCTACTGTACTTCCCTCATTTGGTTCTAAAATCAAATTACTTATTTTTATGTCAGGTATACATACACAATATTAGAACAAGACTGACCCAAGACAAATATTGATGAACTTCTGGGTATCACCAGAAAGGGGAGCACCACCGCACAGTATAAAACGGATCCGGCCGCCCAGAATTGCCCGGACCTTTCTGAACACAAGAAAATTCCAAAGAGCCTTTTCCAAGCCCCAAGCTCCAAACCAACTGCCATTGATTGCTTGAAGCCTCCGTGCATAGGCTAAATGAAACAACTTCTTTGGCAATCCTCCTGCTGCATTTACCTGCATTGACAAGCCTTTAAGTCCTCACTCTTGCCCCATCAATTGTTTAAAGCTAGGTTTCAAGCAACTAGCTTGCTAACACACATGATACTCTTGATGCATGCAACATAAGTGTGTAATCATGAGTCACAAATCAAACTCAAAGTACCTTCTTGAACACTCCATCTCGAACACGATCAAGAATTGCTGGTACAGCTGCCATTAAAGTTGGCCTCAGTGCAGTGGCATCCCCTTTTGTTCCCCTTTTTATCTTGTTTGATGTATCAGTAAGGGTCAAAGGAGAACCATACCCTATGGGAACCCCAACAGCTGCCATCAAATTCTAACATACTCGAGTGGGTCAAAACATGAAATGAAGAAATACAGAAGAAAAAAAGATGGAAATAGAATGCCCTTAGTCTAAGAAAATTATGGAATCTATACAAGAAAAGTATATTCACATACTTCAGCTGCTAATTCTAAGATATGAGCCATTGGTAAGTATGCAAGATATACGTCCTTTGTCCCAATGTCAGGAACAATTGTCATCACAGCAGAGAGTGTAGCTAAGACATTGCCATGTGTCATCATCACACCCTGTGCAAAAGAAAGAAATTAAAGAAATGGCATAAACAATATAAACAAGAGAATGAAAAGTGAACAAAAAGAATGAAAGAAAGAAAACAAGTTATAGTCCAATCTAGAACAGTTCATTCAGTAAAAAGATTTTAAAAATTGAAATTGAAAGAGCAACACATCTCAGTGATGCTTCTGACCTTAGGTAATCCTGTACTTCCACTTGTATACATTATAACTGCAACATCTGCTGAAAGAGGTAAATCAGCATCAACAGGATTTTCTCTACCAAGTCTCTCAACCTCGGCAAAGGAAGTGATTATCCAGTCAAATGCAATAGCTGAGGCATTAGATGGGATATCATCATCCAAGCATATCACACGTTTCACTGAGTCTAGTTGTCCACTAATGTTTAGAAGTGTTCTCAATTCTTTTTGCCCACATATCACTGTTGTAACCTCTGTCTGGCACCGGTTTTGAAAGCAAATGCATAACAAATTCCAGAAATTAAATCACAATACTGATAACAAGCTATGGCTAAATTAATAACCACATGAAAATTTCAAATTTCGATAATCCAATAAATTGCAAATGCCAAAACTTTTATGCTTAGGAGCTATGTATTTTCAAGTTTGCACACAAGACAACTGTGCAATTGTGCACTTTTATCTCAGTTCAGTTGTTTCTCAAGAAAACTTACAAACTCACTATAGCCTTATATATTATGCCACACAATGTAGCCAATACGTGTTTGGTATAGTGGATTGAAGAGGATTGAGAAGTTGTAAGGAGAACCTTATATATTGACATTTGCTGTGACATAGAATTGTCTTCATGGCAACTCTAGTGTTCTGCCAGATCGCCATAGCTACTGTACATTTCCTAGTAAAGTTATTATTTGACATACATCTAAAGAGACCATATTGCTTTAGTAATTTAATCATAGCTACTTGCTTCCTTCTTTTTCTGACATGTCATATACGGGGACAAGTGTTAAGAAATTGATACATTATATATACTAATAAATGTGACAAACTTCTATCTATCCAAGGCTATAAAATCAACTAGATTATTAATTTTCTCTATGAAGAGCATAATCAGGAACTCAGGAAGTTATAGCAATTAGCAAGACATTCCAGGCAGGCAGAGATGTGTGAAAAATAAGAGACAAAGAGGAGTGATAAAAACCTCATTCAATGAGTAACATAAAGCTTCCTCTCCCAATGATGCATATATAGTCACAACTGTCACATTTCGCCTGAAACAACCCTGAAGATGCAGAAGTAGGAAAAGAAAAACAAGTCAATTCCCATCTCCCTTCAATCAGACGTAAAAATACTTTTTTATTTCATAGTGGAATTCAATAAATATTTTTAGTGTTATTAATAATTTGTAGAATTAATTTAGTGTAATCATCTTTAAATGGTTGTAAAAGCGTAGTTTCTACCGTTAGAATGCACAATCAACTCTAATTTCAAACCTTAGTAAATTGTAAAGACCACTTTTCTATTTCTTAACTGAGTTTTTTTTTTCAATCAAATTACCAACTTAATAAATAAAAGATCGGTGATGACTCTATTTTATAATTTTTTTTCCGCCATTGTGACCCGTAATGACTAGTGACAGTTGAAATTATGGTGGGGACAATTGAAGTGTTAACAACCACAACCAATTCCACCCTCATCATCTGCCTGTTAAGGGCAGGTATCCATTTAACATGTATTCATAAATTTTTTATATATCTATGAGTATCCATATGTATATGTAAGTATTTGAAAAATGAAATATTTTAAATAAAAAGGTAAGAAACAAAATAAAATTAAAAATAAATAATTTAAAAGACATATATTTATGTTAAAAAATAATTTCATAACATATATATTTGTACTAAAATAAATAATTATAATATGTATATTTAGTGTAAAAATAAATTAATCAAATTATTTTATATATAATTAAAATTATTTTTAATAATCTTAAAATGCATGTACCCTGCAAATACAAGTATTTTAGTATCCTTCCCTGTTCCATTATTATTAAGCAGATATATATTTAATTATTCATTTAAAATTCATAACAAATTTTATTCATATGTATGAATTTCTTTGTCACCCACAAGCTTAACTCTAACTTTCACAATCAGGCTTGTAAAAATATTTTAAAAAAATAGAATTGCCACAGATATTTTATTGGACAGAAACTAAAAATAATTTTAAAACTCTTTTAAAAATATAAAAATAATCTTTAAAATCAGGCAAAGCAATGTTTGCGAGTCTACTAGGGGGTCTTCAACATACCTTTCCCAGGAGTCTTAGAAACTTCAAACACACATTTAAAATATTTTATTTTATTAATTAAAATTTATTAAAAATCACAAATTTCTGATTAAGACAAATTATTCTAGACATAAAGTTCAATAAATTATGACAAACAAAAAATATTTTTTTAAAATTGTACTACTCCTTACATACATAAGGACGACCTGAAAAAAGAGTATTTATGTCGACATAAATATCTTATATCATCTTACTTAATTACATACGTTAATCTTCTTTATTAGATACGACAGAATAACCACTTTTTAAGTAACAGTAAAAGGGATAAAAATGGGGAAAAAATAATTAATATTATATTATTGAAAAGCTGGTTTTACCATTTTTTTTCTTCGAACACAATCCTTTTCATATCACGGGACAGAAGAAGTAGAAAATAATAAATAATTTTAAAAAAAATCAATATATTAAACACTTGATTATTTACACACAAATTCCAGAGGAGTGGTGGGTCAATATATTTTTTAACATGCTCATTCGAAAACATTCTAGCTTCCATTAAAATTAATTAAAAACTACACAATAACAGGTAGTAAGACTTGGTATCAAACAAGAAGTGAAATCCATGATATTTCAATAAAAAAATTTATCAAGACTAACTAGTGTGGTTAAAAAAACTGTGTTGATAAGAGAGACGATACGTGTGCAGTGTACAATAACGCAGATGAAGATGATTCACTAAGCATAAGTTTATTTTGGATCAGACAATAACACCAAAATCACGCAACCACTCTGCTTTAAAGTTTTGTCTTTAATGCAATTTGTAGGGCAGAACCTGTAACGCCATGAACCACTCCTGGCGCGTGTCGGCGAAGATCGCGACGCGCTCCTCCCTGAGATGGCCGATGTAGGCCAAGCCAGAGGCGAAGGCCGAAACGACGTCGAAGACTGCGGCGTACGACAGCCAGCGGTACTCTCCCAGGTGAAGCTTCTCGAAGGACCTGGCGTCCACCTCGCGAGCCACCAGGGCGCGCGTCCCGAGCAGGAGCCTGGCCGCGTGCGCCTTGCAGGCCGCCTCGAAGAGCTCGGCGAGCGTGGCGACTCCCTCCCACGCGCTCCGCACCGGCGACTCGAAGCGGTGGTTGCGGAGGGCGAGGCCGGGGTCTCCGGCGACGTCGACCGGAAGGCCTCGGCGTTTGGGCCCCCGGGAGGCGTTGCGGACGAGGAGCGTGACGAGGAGAGGGAGTATGGCTCCGAAAATGTAGGGATTCATGGCGTGTGGTGAGGGAAGCGTGAGTTTGTGAGGGATTGGTTAAATAGTGTAGGAATGGGAATCGGAGAGAACGATGAGTGTTGAATGAGGTCGTTGGAGTTTCAGTTGCGAACGAGTTCCCCAAGTTGGGGCTTGGTCTTTCTCGCTTGGCTCCAGTGCTTTCGCTTTTGTCGTCAACGTTTCTCTTTTTATCAGATTTCCTTCCATTCCCTTGCTTACGTGGAAGTAGATGCCTGCTACTAGATTTAGTCTACTGATTCGAACCATAATCTAGGTTCAATCCTCGTTACAACTATCTTTATAATCTTTTTTATTTTAAAAAAAAAATATTATGGAAACAAAATTAATTATTTCTTTTTATCATCAAAATTACATGTATAATAATTATTTTAAAATTTATGTTAAAAATAACATTAATAAAAGAGATATCTTGTTTAAATGTTTATTTATTTATTTATTTTTTAACTAATTTGCTCGATTATCTCATTATTTAAAGTTACCTATATACTCTTTCTTTATCATTTTTTTTCTTATTTTATTCAATTTTTTTATAGTAAGACACCGGATGACTTTTTTCACTGGTATTTTAGTAATGTTGCTTATTATATTATGAGGTATGTTAGTTACATCTTTATTTATAAAAAATAACTTTTATAAAAAATAGTTATAGTCTAAATTATATTTTTATATTTTATTTTTATTTTTAAATTTATTTTTTATCTGTTAAGATATTATTTTAATTTTTTATCTTTTATATTTGAATTAATTCGACTCTTTAAAAAAATTAATTTTATAATACAGTTTTAAATCAATTTTTGACTAATTTATTATATGAAACTTTTGATATTAAATTTAATTATATGAAAATTACGATGTTCAATTAACTTTGAAATCTAAAAGAGCTATAAATATAGTAAAATTTGAGTAAAAACTAAATCTCAGTAACTAAAAAATAATGTAAAATTATATTTGTTTTTCAAGTTTTGGTTGTTATTTAGATTTATTCTTATGTGATTCTCACAATGTTTAAAATACTTTTAGTTTAAACTTTAGTTACATTAAATAATTTTCATATAAATGATTTTAATGAGACAAATTTAAGTTTTGACTCAATAAAAAAAAATCAGAATCGTGTTTCAAAATTTAAAATAATCATTGTTTAAAAATGATTAAATTAACAAATATTTAAGAGAAAAAGACAAAAATTAATATTTTTAAGAGATAAAAAATTAAAATAAATCTAAAAAATAAAATAAATTACTGTAAATATAATTTAACCATAATTATATATTTTAGTTTTCTATACACTTACTTTTTAGCTATTCAGAAATACCAAAATTTTATTTTATTTAAATATAATTAAAATAAGAAACTATTTTGATATTAATTATTCGGAAGAAAAGTGACGGAAGGTATTTACCCTTGTGTTTGGGGTCTGAATGAATCGTGATTCAGTTTTGTCGGTATCCAAGTTTATTGAATGTGTTTGGGATGGGATGCATGAGGCCTAGATTTAATGTTTTTTTACTTTTTAAGTTTTGATTTTTTTTTTCTTATAGAAGACAATATTAATAAGAATTTAATTAAATATATTTTTAGTTTTTACATATACTTATTTATTTTCGTCATTGTAAAAATATTTTTTAAATAGTTTTTTAATTTTGGTACTAGTTTATATTTTTATTTTTATTGACAACGAGATGATGTTCATCAACTACTAGAAGCTCTTTTGCAGCTCCAACTAATGGGAACTAGGGTTCTCCAACAACTTCATCTAGTGTAACCAATGGTGGCAGTTCAATTCGGAGTTCTAAATCAATCGTATTCAATGCTCTTAGCTATGTTAATGTGAAGGAAACGTTGAATTATAAAAAAAAGACTTTTTTTAATAATTTTAAATAATTTAAATTTAAAAAATAAAAGTAAATAATTATTCAATTGTCCACCATAGAAAATATGCCATGATTATCCACCATAACAAGCACTTTATTTCTCATTTTAGTTATTGTAATTAACCTTTTCATTTTGATTTAATTCCTTTGAAAAAAACTAGAAATAAATCATTCACATATTGCAAACACAAAAAAAAAAAAGAGAAAATAAGTATATTACAAGAATTAAAATAAAATAAAAA